TATAGTAACTAGTAGAATTACTCTCTTCGTTCCTAACTAACTAATAGGTTCGTACGTAATATAGTATAATAATAACTACAACACTACATACATAGTATATATATATATATATATATATATATATATATATACACACCTTGAAAGATTGTTGCACTTACTAGTTACAGACGTAATGAAAATGTTGGTTTAAAAATCTAAAGAAACAATAAAAAACTAAAAAGACATCAAGTATATTAGAACAGGTCTCAAAGATTGTGCTAAATTAGTAATAAGCACAGTTGCTTACAGTTCATTTGTAATATACTCTATTCTCTTGGCAACATTTTGTTGTGCTTCTTCAAGATCTTGTTTAACCAACACAGGTCCCATTAACTTGTAGACATCTGCACTTGGTTCAAGAAGGTCCATCTCCTATAGTAATGCATATTAACATAAAATTAGTCAAATTTATTGAATAATACTTGAAGTACAAAACTCATTGTCACTGAGATTGAACTAAACAAACAAGCAAAATTAAAACATTGTCACAAAATAAGATGGCAATACAGAAACAAACAATGTGTTAAAAACTGGGGGAAAGGGGGGTGATTAAAACATTATTGAAATCTCTATATAGCTGAAATTAAATTTTTAAAGTTTTCAAAGATATTACAGTAAAACCTGTTCAAGGTTTTTTCTAATTAATATGTCAAATGCTAGTTGTCAATGCTAGAACTGCCTAAAAATATTATTTTGACAAAAATTACAAAAAAAAACTGTTATATACTCAAAAGTCAAAGGAATTATGTCCAGTTGCAAGATGGCTTGCTATCAAAATAAAGGAGCAAGCAGATGTGAAAAGATTTACCATAAGGAAAGCACCAACATATTTGGATTACAATTTACACAGCTCAGTAATTGTAAATCCTTTCTGGAAATTAATGTCTTTTTTTGTGTTTCAAATAAATACTCCATCTATGACATTTCTTTATCTTTTAAGAAATATTTTTTTTTCAACTATAAAATATGCATTCAATTAACTAAAAAAATCATGCAGGTCTATGTCCTAAAATTCTAGTGTGTTTTAAAATATTTTATCTGTGAAATTTTTTTAATGCAATAAAGTTTATCAACTTAAAATAAAAAGTTGTTTGAAAATGTTTAAGTACCCTCAGAGGAGCATTATCTCATTTAAGATATGTACTTCATAACATTGATTATAAATAAGAAAAATAATAAATATAACAGCAAAAAAATAATTCATAAAGACATCCAAATCTTGCAGCAAACTAATACTGTTTTAGGTGATCAAGCAAGTGGATACTTTTAGTCCCTCTTCATTGTACATAGTGTGTAAACTTAACAAAACATGCCACTTTCACTTGTTAAAGTTAGAGGAGAATAAGATTATCATGGGTATAGTATTATTCATTAGTTTGTACACAACATTATCAAATGCTGCGTGAGCCAACAATTTGCTAGGTAATTTGAATCAGCATAATGCCAATTTCACACATTTCTAATTCTCTGTCCTGTTGCCTGCTTATTTGTCATTTCACATTAGGCCAAAATAAAAAATTTCTATGTCTATGGTAACACTGCTAGGAAATTTAGGGTGGATATGTAAAATTTTTAATTTTTTTATCCAACTTTACTACACTGCACTGTACACCATTATCAAAATACAGAATGTTTTTCATGTATTCTGTCAAATATAAAATTGTGTTACTTTTAGAATTTTTTTAGGTTCATATCTGTTTTTGTTTTAGTAAATATGCATTTCTTTTTATTTCTTGTAGTATATTTACTTCCCATAAGGTCTGTGGAATATAATCTGAAGTCCTTGTTTCTCAAGCACAAATACTCAGATAGACTCTATTGAAATACACAGGGGAAATAGTAATTGTAGTCGACTTATATGCACCACACCAAATCTTCCTCTTAATAATATTTTATAGTTCTTTATAGAATTACATTCATTAACATACAGCATATATATGTCAATATGTTTTTAATACAAACAACCAAAATTCAAGTTAATGAAATAATAATTTTCACATTAACTAAATGAAATTAATAATATAAAGATTTTAAGAAGTTTTTTTTTCTGTAATATATGTGTTTTGAGCTTCTGAACTCTTTAAGTTGCAGTGAAAGAAAGTTGTTTTTATGTATACACAATTATATAATTTTAATACATTAATATCACCATTATATGCAAAATTAAATAAATGCCAATTAACTATAATTTGATTACTTGACAGATGAAACAATCAAAAACAGTAATAATTGTATACACTAACTGATTATTTCTATGACAATCAATTTCATTGTAATTTCAACTGATCAATTATTTTGTGAAATTAATTGATGTAATCAATGCTTATAGGTAATAGATTATATTAATTAATCACGTTAATTGACAGGCTCTGAGTTGGTATTAAAATAATAGGCATTAGCACTTTGCTATACCAAATAAATAGAAACTCTACATGCTAGACATATTTAAGCTCAGGGTATTCATGAGTTAAAATAATCAAATATATACAAACCTCTGTTCATGAGATAGAATATTTCTGTCTAAGAAATGTTTAAGATAATCCAAATATCTAAATAAACATTATTATAGTAATTTTGGTATTTATTGTGCTGCTAGATATAGTGTTTAACTAAATAGGGGACTTCTAAATGGATATATTACAGAAATGAAGTACTGCATTAGTAAGTACAAGTTAAGCCTACTTCGTTCTTTCTAACAGTCTGCTATGTTAAAAAAAATCATTTTGAAGCCTTTCCATAACACATCAGTTGCACTATTCCCATAATCAAAAATGATACCATGTCAAAATATTTTTACAATAAAGACATCTAAATCTTACAGCAAACTAATGTTTTCCTTTTTTCAACACTGATTGTACAATTGAAGAACCTTACTTCTTTAACAATATTATTCTCATTCAGTTGACCTTCCAGCTGCTGTCTCAAGGAATATGTCTTCTGAAAATCTGAAATGAATATATCCTTCTTATTTAAAGATTAATGCATATTACACTGATCAGATACATAACAATGTGATGCACATACAATCATTACATATTATTAAATTAGATAATTCACTTAGAAGCATATCTGAGGAGGGAAAAAAGCAACAACAGAAGAATGAAATAAATATCAAACCTATAAAAAAAAAGGAAACTTTACATAACACTAAGTCAAATTTCAGCATATTATGTGCAATGCATTAAAATGTTAATATACGAACAGTTAAGAAGATACAAGGCCATTTGGGCCCAGTATTGGCAAATTAACAATTTTATCACTAGATCTAGCAGCTTTTGGGTTTCTCAAGTGACAAAAGTTTATCATAGTGACGAGCAACATTCACTACAATAAGTAAATTCAGAGAGAGAGAAAAAAAATTTAACAACTGTATAATCATAAAATCTCTCACAAACAGCTTAAAAGTGTTAGAATAATCCAGATTCTTCTTATATAGTGTTGCATGCAACACTGATGTTATTATGTCTACACAAGATGAAAAGTGAGACAGTGAACAACACCTGTTAACTGTATACATTGTAACTGCTTGTACGCAGTTACACAAGGTATCATACAAAATGTGGTAGTGTTTTGATTTCATATTTTTAAGTAATTTTTGTAATTATCTAAAACAGATATGTAAAAAGACAAAGCACTATACACTTAGTGATTCTGAGAAGAGTTGCAGTCAAATGAGCAATTTAAGGGTGGCTAAAACTATATGAAAAACTTGTTAGAATGTGATTTACAGTCTAGAAATATCTCTAGTGTTTAGTAAATTAGTGAATATAGAAATATCATAATTTATTCTTTCAAAAGTGCCTCCTCAGTGTAAGGAAAATTTTCCGTTATTTATATATTAAATGTATATAGAATAATTTTTTTTTATTATCAATTGTACACTATAGAAATTTTGCTTAGTGACACTTTTGATGCCTGTAAAATGGCTAAATAGGACATTTAGTGACTTTTCAAGGTATCTCTAGCAATTTCCTGCTTTGTGGAGTTGGTAACACTGATTGAGTCATTAAAATTAAACTTTCTATAAACAGAATTGAGTATTTAATTTGTTCCTTTCATTATAGCTAAACATTCAGCATGAGTTTTAAAGAGGTACCAACAGTAACATCTAAAACTTCTTTCCCCACAACCCAGAAATAGTCATTTCCAAGTGCATGACTTTACACTCTCAATATTAAAACTCATCTTTCACACACTGACCCAGTGTTAAAGTCCTTTTAGGTGATCCAATTAATTACTGTAAAGTAACCATAAAGTACCAAAAATACATGTGCAATCAGGTCAAATATTCTTGGCCACAACTACATTGTAATTTCACTTGCAGAAACTGTCAAAATGGATTATTGCAATGAAGATTAAGCCATTTTATCAATTCATCACAGTATATGTATGTTCTTAAGCTTTTTGCTAATATTTTGTTATCCAATAAGTTTATTAGTGTGTATTTTCATTACCTGTTTTATATATATATAAAAAAACAAGAGTTAAAGCATATTTGTTCAAATTATATATGGTTAATTTGTGGTACTTCATGGTGATTAGTAAAATTCCTTACAAATAATCAGAGAATTCTCAATAGAACATTTTGTTTTTTATAGTGGTTTATTATCACTACCATATTTAAAAAACTACTACCCAAGAAGTCCATCAAATCATTAAGGGAAATAATTAAAAACACAGGTTTTAAACAGATCCCTGAGGGTCACTAGCCACATTTTCACATTTACTTTCAAACTAGCATAAAATTTATGCTTATACTCCATTTTTTCTTTAATCTCTTATAATCTTGAGATTATAAATGAACATTACACATTTATGTTTGTAGAGAAAGAAAACCAATGATATTCCCTTCATTCCTGTTATACAAAAATTAAGACACATGTAGTTGTACACATATTTAACTGAATGCTTCACTTTATGAAACCAGTTTTTAATTGTTTTTCTTTTTGTTTAACAGTACAATTCATAATCCTAGTTTCACTCAATTTTTCCTGCCCATAACTACAGTCCAGGAGCACCATTATTTGAACTGGGAAATCTCCTATATGTACTTTTATTTTAAATTACTTTTCATGAGAACTTTAACTAATACATTAAAGCCTTTACAAAGTGGGTTCGTAAATTAAAATGTACAATAAAACAGCTTACACTAATTCATAATTTCCATGCGTTTCTGCTTAGGTCCTAAGTTCATGTCCAATATAAATGTTAATGAAAATTGAAATTAAATTATTTAAACGTAACTGTATGAGTTAAGATTTAACTTTAAGCCTCGATAGACCAACAGGCCCTTTGTTGTTTCTTAAATGTTATGTTATTACTAATACTAACAACATACTGAAATTTATAAAAGAAAATGAAATACGGCGACGTTAACGCTCTGTTTCAAGTGTTTGGTACGGTGATACTGATAATGGTATTGATAGGCCTACATTACTATACAAATGTTTGGCCTCAACTAAAAATGTTGTTTTACAGAAAAACGCAGCTCATTTCAGAACATTCTTTATTTTATCAAATGTTTGTTATCTTTAATGTTTTACTTGCCTTTTTGGAGTAATTTATATTTTTCCAACTCCTGTGAAAGCCTTTTCTGCAAACCTTCGTAGGCCGCCATTTTGATAGTTTAACAACTAAATTATAGAGCCATCTAGTGTTCTAGTATTTAAATATCAATATCTATTATACAGCCATCTAGTGTTCTAGTATTTAAATATCAATATCTATCAAATTTATTAGTATTAGTTTTTGTTTGTTTGAAGTTTAGCACAAAGCTACACAATGGGCTATCTGTACTCTGCCCACTACGGGTATCGAATCCAGGTTTCTAGCGTTGTAAGTCCGCAGACATACCGCTGTGCCACTGGGGGCATTAGTATTAGTAGAAAATAGTGAAGTTTCTTTTCGGATATTTGCGCAAAACTACTCAAGAGCTATCTGCGCTAGTCGTCCCTAAATTTGAACCGATAGACAAGAGGGAAGGCAGCTAGCCAACAGTAGCACCAGATCTTTTTGGGTTACCTTTGTCTGATAGAATAATGAGATGTGACCTTTATTTTATTTAAACCTGACAGGGAATTAGTTTGAAGGAAGAGAACGCAATAAGAAGAATTACGGGGTCTTTCCAACTGAGGTTTTCATGAACAGTCGTTACCCTTCGCCGCGCAAGTGTGTTTAATTTTGGACTACAAGGGAAATGTTAGTCGAAATTCAGCTGGAGTGTGTTTTACTTGAATGAAAGGGATTGGTGAGAGGATAACCGTGAAGGAGGTCAGTACAGGCCTGTAGTTCTTAATTTCTAGGTGTCTTCTCGATTGACAGAGGGGTTACCGTAGGTATGAGACCGAAACAAACCAGTTCAACGAGTATTTTTCAGAACGATTTAAATAGTTGGATTAATCATACCAACATAGGTATTTTAGAGAGATAGAAGAGAAAGATAGATAGTGATATATATTGTTGCGTCAGCGAGGTCACGTGACTAGTATCACGCCACCTATTTCTAGAAATATCCTGCTCCTTCATGAATGCCCTAGCGTTTACTAGATATGTGTTAGTCTTGTATATATAAGACGGTCACAACGTGACGGGCAGTGAGTAATTGAACTGCAGTCAGGGAGTGTGTAATTGAACTGAGTATTCTTGAAGTTG